ATACTATTGATCGACCAAAAAAGGATCCAGATGGCTCAGATGGCGATTCGCCAAGACCTCAATCAATCAGTTTTGCTCGTGTCGCTCCAAATGCCTCGTGTCGGTCGGAGCCAGCGATCGGACGCGCGTCGTGTCACGTTCGGTCGCTCCGAGGATCGACGACGGGCGAAGTGGATCAGCACATCAAGGACCGTGCCGGATCCGTGTCTTTGCTCACATGGTGAGGCCCCAGAGCTGACCAGATAAAATGAGGCTAAAATAGGTCGAAACTCATGCTTGGATCACAAAGAGTCACAAAGGACAAAGGGTGCCCAAAATGATGGTTTCTGAAGAAAGAGGGCTCAAAACCTATATAGGTTCTGGCATGTTCTGGCTTAAAGGTCCATCAATCATACGCTCTGGGACGGTGTTTGTCATCCACCGTCTGTCAGGTGAGTTCTATCTCTCCCACCTCTCTCCCGGGCACGACATGTGGTTGGATGCCTGGAGTTGGGCTGCCTCGAACGCAACAATCAATCTGGGTTGACAGGGAACTCAGCAGGATGATTTGCAAACATAGTCCCTTGATATCACTGCTGCCTGTACTGTAGAACGGGGGGAGGCCGCTAGCAGCCTTCGGAGATGTACGGACGAGCACTTTCCGCTGAAAGGTCCCTAAGAATCTGTTTGGACCATGGAGATGCCGTTGATGAACACCTGTTGGGGGATTTTTGACCAGTGGGTACTATTGGAGGATCTTGGATGCACACAAGTTGTTGGGGAGATTTGTGGCAAGTGACCATCAAATAGGCCTTGCCTTTGGCCAGGAGACGAAGCGTTTACTGCAGAAGGCGCTGCATGCGCAAGGTTTGCGTAGCCGGAGTATTTGTCAAATCTAAGCCCAAGCGAGTGAGTGAGTCGAAGAAGTCTTCCCTACTGGAGGACTCCCATGTTAGCTGCCTACATGGACCAGTTCAACACAGAACAACCATACAACAATCGACACTCCCTCCAAACTAGTAAACTAGACCACGGAGCCTCATCTCCCCAAGCACTGATCCTCAAAAGCTTATCCCTGGACAACCCCCCCGAAATGAACAAAACAAGGACATGCAAATAGCCTGGCATTCCCTATCTCAGGTAGTGCCGGAATTGTTCCAAAAAGACGAGTTTTTGGATATGTATGCAGATGAAGTAGGGTTCCACAAACTCATCGACCACCACTTGAGGGCCACGGCCGATGGACAGCCTGGCGAAGATCATTCGACAGCTAGTAGCAAAACCAAATTGATGGCTCAAGCTTACAATCGCTGCCAATGCTGTGTCACTGCTGATGTGTTCTCGTTTGGCCAGGTATCAGGCTTTGTGCCTAGGGGATATGGGGACACATTTATATTTATACTAGCAGACTGGAACTTAGAATGCATTTTTGGAAATCCTGATCCGGGGGAAATTTGTTTCCCCCCGGTACCGTGAAACCGTGCTGATGATCTTACATAAACTTGGATCAACTTGGATGAACTTTGGCTCCGGGAAAAGCCATGTGCTGCTCTCCAAGGGGAAGATTTCCATATGTGCATGTATATACTGCTTAAATGTGTTAGGAATATTGTGGAAACGTTTGATAAATGTGCACGTTGGCACACAAATCTTTCCTTTCTCTACCTTTGCGCTTTGAAACTTAGAATGACTCTGTTAGACTACGGACTGAAACTTAGAATGGGTCTGGTAGATACCCAAAAAACTCAATATGGAGGCATTCTAAGTTAACCCCAAAAGCCGGCATTCTATGTTTCAGTCCGTCGGTATATACAAACTTCAAGATTGGCTACCCTCAACTGTACATCCAGGTCTCCTTGCTTGAAGTGGCTTAGCAAACCAATTGAAGTTTCGTTGATCTAACTCAGGAAGCTCCTCCCACTACCTATTCTCATCTATTATCTATTTCAGTAGGCAAATAGGGTGTCTATAGTCTCCAGAACTATATAGGCTGTCAGACTCTGTAGGCGCTGAAGCCACCGGTCCACTATCAAAAAGTTACAGTTGAAGTTGAACCATTGGACCATTTGGGCGAATGCGTAAACACAAGACTATTGCGTAATCGCACCGAGACCTTTCTTGACTTTACCAGGTGTACTACTCCCAAGAATACGCATGAAGACGTCACAATCCAGACGAAAAAGCGTGTAGGAATGAATGACAGCCAGTTGCGTGTCTACGACTGTCTAATATGGTCCGTATGCTGCCACAGGTTTCAAGGGCAGGCAGTGGAACTTCCAGGCTACAAAGACATGGGCCTAGGGCCAGTCATTTGAATCACCAGATTCAGATACTTCTGACGAACATGGCCTGAACATCCCTGAATCTTGTGGTCCAGTCTTTGTTATACTTTTTTAGCCGGCATGCGACACAAAAGAGGTCGCATGCCCAGAGTTTGGCCTCGGCTGAAAGGAAGCAGGTGACCAAACCCAAAGTACATTGGCAACTGTAGTTGGGTACTGTGCGTTTAGCGGCAGCTGGGGGGAGGAGGGCCCCTTGGGGTCAACTCTGCCTTCGGGCCGTGACACTCCATGAGCCTCACAAGCTTCCAATCGATTTCAGCTTGGTTCGGCCTGCGATTGTTCTAGGCTGCTGTCCAAGCGGCCCCAACGTGCCCGCTTTTGCAAGTGCTCCCTGACCGCGCAGGATGCAGCATGTTGTTGTTGCAACTTCGCACAGTCCGAAGTGGGACTGCATGGTACTGCTATGTATTGAAGTGTTGTCAAGGATAAGGAACCCTGATGGAACCCTGTTATATCCATGACCATAACTTACACTCTAATTTAATCGGATTGTGTGTGTATACTGTTTACGCTCGGTTGTTGATAGACTATTAATTTGTGAGGTGCATATCGGACGTATTGTAGCTATGCCAGCTGGACTGTTATGACCGGGTCAAGCTGTGCAAACTGCCTGATTCTGGGGATGTGTGCTTACAGAACATTGTAACCTATAGAAACATGCCTAGATTGATCTAGATGAATAAGGTAAAGACTCAACTCAACACAAATAAAGTTGCAAAGTTTACAAACACAAAAACTATGTTGACATTCTGAGCTTTGATTTTATTACAGGGTTATGAAACAGATTAGGGTTATGAAACAGGATGTTGGTAAAGAGCCACTTATATTTGTGGCGCAGTGCCGCTGGGGCAGGGACATGGCGCGAATTCGGAACGGCTTCTCGCACCAGGCGGAAGTCGCCTCCAGTGGCAGGGCGTGGCAGAACAGATAAACAGCCATTTTCCTAGTTGCTCCTAGTAGCGATGCCCTTTGCTCCTAGTAGCTTCTTGCTCCGAGTAGCGATGCCAGGAGCCCCTAGTAGCATCCTTGCATGCACCCCATTGGGGCTGGAGGACCGACTACTAATCAGGTTGGTTCACTAGGGCGAGTTGGGGGTGCCATGCTGGTGCCCATAATTGGTCGCACACCCCGAAGCGGCCAATAACAAAAACGGGCCACAATGAATCCCCGGTGATGTTGTGGACCTTGTGCACCAGCTGTGGGTCCCCGTTTTGGGTTTTCGTTGACACGAATGATGTGAACCGTTTTGTGTCACGAACTCATTGGCTCCAAAGAATCTCTGAAACGGATCCTTGTTTCAAAAAAACGGAGCATTTCCAGGTGTCCTTTTGCTTTTCCACAGTGTTTGCTTTCTTTGTTGAGGATGGCCTTCCAATCTCAAGTGGGTGAAACACATGATTGGCCGTGGTGCCCTGCCGCTGGAGATAGTCCGGCCAGGTCAAGCGGACCGGGTGGGTGGCCTCAGTCGGAGGCCCATGAGACATGACGTCGACCCATCAGATGGAGTGGCAAGCTTCAGATGGGAACACATGCAGAATCAACGATGGAGCAAGATCAGATGGATCGGCCATACCGTGCTCCCATTGTGCCCGATGGCCTAAATGCCGTTCGCATAGAAATTCTGGGATCTCAAGAGTATCGCCTGTCTGACTGAGACAGGCGGCTTGAGAGTTTGGTTGGATTCTCGCTTGGTGTACTGTTGGGCAGCTCATGAAGCAATTCCGGGACCTTATTTGACTTTTGCACCCAGAATCTGACCTTGGGGAACTCGGTTAGAGAAGGAGCCAGCCGAAGCCACGTGATGCCACATGCTTTAACGACATTCAAGTAAAAATTCTCTAAAGCATCAAGGGACCAAACAAGAATCCAAGACCCATGCTGATTTCAAGTGCATGACCCGCCGAATCTGGCGGCCGCTACCCTGGTCAACAACCTACCGCCTCAACAAACCTTTAGGCCCTAAGGCCCTTTGGGTCCAAGCAACATACCTGGGAGTAGTCCTTGTTGACCACACGGTTGCGACTTGGCGCGGTTGCTGAGCTTCCTAATAGGACGCTCAGCGCCTCCAGCGGTCTCAGCGAACCGCGCGCCTTCACCGAACCGGCTCTTCGCGGAACGCTCTGCTCCGCGCGCGAACCTCGGGCCCCAAAATTCTGCGGCGATCCGCGCACGTGGTCCACAACGAATGGGTCCCATACTACCCTCCTTTGGAATCACGTTTCCTCAGAGAGCTGAATGGGTCAGTGCACTCAGATCACCCGGATCACCGTGAACAAGTCCCCGTCCGGACGAGCCTCAGGATCAATGCTCTCTATGCTTACAGGCACTTCATGCGTGTAGAGGTACACTTTTTGCACGTTTTCGCCCTGGTGGTTGATCCTGTTTGCAAAGAGTGCTGAGGGGGGTCCCCAGGCCCTTGGCTCTGGGTGGTTCATCCCATCGAGAAACAGTCGCGCATGTCACATGTCCTTGTTGCCCATCGCACCGCGGACGAGACAAGACATCGAAGCTAGGTACTAGTACCCAGACACTCCATGTATGCCATATATGCCTATATACATTGACCCCCAATATAGGCATATATGGCAGCCCCATGGAGTGTCTGGGGTAGGATTCAACCAAAAAAAGCACCGAATGCACCGGTGGATCCGATTCGGCCCTACAACTGCTTCACACCAGGTCTGGGCCTTTGCATGGGCGCAGGCCTGGCGAGATGGGAGGAGGAATCTTCGGATTTGGTGGCTTGGTCCGACCGACATGCTACGAACGGAGCAAGGACACTGCTAGTAACTCCTGGCATTACTATTAGGGACAAGAAGCTACTAAGCAACAAAGGGCATCGCTACTAGGACCTAAGGAGCAATGCTCGTGTTTTGCCGACGTTGGGCAGTTTTTTGATCTCCACCCAGCCCATCGGGCGCCCATCTATCGGGTGCCCAATTTCTCCGAGTGTGAATCCGTTCGCTTGAGTCGTGACATGTCATGCACGAAGACTTCTACTGTAAGTTGGGATTATGCAGTAGTCTGGTAAGTACATGAATGTGTGGATGTTCCAACCTCGATTCTATAGGTTCCTGAATGGAACATACTCTCAAAGCAGCTTGATTTTGTGAAAAATTGAATATTAAAAAGCCTGGGGGCGGAAAAGAGTTTTTTATCCCAGAGCTGCTTTTGTGGACAACAGCTATATAGGTGTTGTTCATCTCCCCTGTCGGCACTCACTCTTTTGATCAAATCGTAACAACTACCCACCTGCCTGCCTGCCTCCCTCCCTACCTCCCTACCTACCTACCCCTCCCTCCCTCCCTCCCTCCCTCCGTGCGTATTGTTTTTGGGACTATCGCGAGACGCTAGCTAATGTGATCATCCTCATCAAACATGTGCATCAAACACTGCCAAGAACAAAGTTCCAAGGTTGTTAGTGCATGGGCACTCAGGCATTTAGTTATGATAGCTGTTCAGCCATTTTCAGGTTAGTGCTAGTGTTAGTGCTTTAGATTGCCGGGCGTTTACCAGAGGATTTCAATTGGAGAGGATAATATTGCCTCGTGATTCTTTCTTGCTCCCTTTTACAGCATATTTGACAAACACAATTTCCCTTGCAATATGTGTTTTGTTGATTTATTAACACTCACTACTCATTCTGTCAATTGCTCCATGAAGGGATGTTGACACCTGAAACCACACACGACTTTGCAGTACATTGACGAACTAAACATAGAGGTTGAAAAGATCGGTCGCACTTTCCTAAGACAAAAGCCACACATAATCTTCCAAACTCTTGGTTTCAGCGGAGTGTTCCAACTGGCGAGCGCATATTTCTTTGAGAACTATAGTTGGTTTGGTGGTCCAACTGGTCATTTGACATCATCGATGCGCTTTCTCAGCAATTACCCGAAACTTGGACACTTCAGCTGCGGGTTCTTGAACAGAGCTCTAGGTTACGTGTTGAGCGCTGTCCTCAGCTGTGAGCCCTTGGCCGGTTGGGTGTAGAGGTTGCAAATTAGAAACGTGTTGCGCCCTGGAAGGTTAACGTTAACATGGAGCCAGAAAAGCACTGGCTGGGTTGTAGAGGAAAACCGTTTTCCAAAGGTCCATCTTCAGGTTCCATGTTAATCTTCCCGGGTGTAGTGGGAGTAACGAGGATTCAATGGCTCGATGGGTGGAACTCATGATTCCTGAGCAGAGCCCTTGACATTCCCACGTGCCTTCCGTGACTTCCGTCAGTGCAATCACATAGCCAGTGCAGAGGCCATTTTGCCAACATGTTTAGGTTCAGCTTGTTCGGAGACATTTGTAGGCACAGTACTTTCGGCACCGTATGTTCAATGGGTTTGTCCTTGTAGAATGCTAGAATAATCTACCCCTAAATTGAACAATGGCAACAATAGATCAATGGATGCACATACTGAGAGAGAGAGAGAGAGATGTTTGTTCCGTGGACCAGTACCTATGCAGAGAGACTGTGTTTGTTCACTTTTGACTCTTTTTTGCTGGTTTGCCACCAAGTGCCACCATTGCATCCACATCGTTTGATGGATTGGTCGTGCACAGAGTCCAGGCCCGACAAGCCTTCGCTTGCAGCTGGCGCATGTGCCAAGTGCCTGGTCCACCCAGCTGCCCAAGCCTGGGCTGGTCGAGTGGGGTGAGCGATTTGAGTCTCACTCGGTGGAGGGCCACGTAGATGTCAGACGGCGCCATATGACGATTTCCATAGAACCAATGCAGAAACCATCTTAGCACTCACAGATCATTGCACCAGAGCAGCGGCTGCGGCCCTACAGCGCTTGGCAATGCTCACATTGGCCGATCTCGCAGTGCGGTGGAACCCCACTGCTGTTATCCTGTTCTGTGGACACCTGCAGCTGAGTTTTGTACATCAATCTGTGAGGATGCCGTGTAAGATAAGAGAATTCGCGTCACACGGCACATATGCTTCCAGGTCATCAGGGCAACATTTCCGGACCACATTCACAGGACACACGGGGATTCATTTGGTTGGCTCATTGGCTTTGGTTTGCGCAAGTGGGGAGTCCCTACCAGGAGAGTCTTATTGACCCCTCTATCACCCAGAAAAGGACAACATATCGATTCAAGTCTCGGATGCGGCCGAGGATCAAACTTTGCGGCTTCATTTCCAGCTTGCTACGGAGGAGGCAGTCTTTTTCTGTGCATTATATATATATTATATATATATATTATATATTATATAAAAGGATTGCAAACATGTTGAGGCATGAAGACACCCCTGCCTGCCTTCAATCACTCACGTCTTCAAGTCTGATCGAGTCTTCGAGATAGACGTTCCATCAATTCATGCCTTTTGTGGTGCGTTCAAGTTGAGATGCAATGAAGTGGAGAAGCACAAGGCATCAGCATGTGTGGCACCTTCCTGGGATGTTGGCTTTGCTTAGTTCCAGGTGACCCGTGTCACCCTCCAGCAATCACAAGTCATGCCCCTTGGATGCACGAGCACGGCGCAAAAGTGGTTAGGATTTGGTTTGCCTCCCTGCGTCTCCCTGCACAGACAAAAGGGCAACTGCTAGAAGGCTTGATTCCTTCACTGGTTGGGTGTTAGGAGGGGGCTGGGGGTATTGGCATTTGGCTTTGCAAAGGCGAGCTACAGCCAGTTCCCAAGCCACTTACTCGTTGATTTCTTGTTGGACTGGAACTTAATTTTCATAGTTGACTGCCATCCAAGGCAAGTACTGGCCATGCGGGCTGCAGCCGCGATAGAGGTGCAGCTCTCGTGGCGACCATGTTGACACCTGGAGGACCAAGAAGACGACTGCCCACTACAAGACCCCAACAAGGACCTACTGTACTAAATGAAGCGATGCTTGCAGCGTTGGCTGTTGGTTTTTGGCCCACTTTGCACAGCAGGATTGGTAAGTTAAGTTCTAGACTCTGGAGAAATCTCCAAAAGCTGGCTTCGGCACCAGAGGTGTGCCTTTGCAGACGTTTGGCTGAGAAAGATGGACACATGAGAAAAAATTGATAAAACACATCACATCCCAGTTGTGAAAAAGATGCTTGCTTGGCAAGTTGATGATTAGACCTCTTGGCATGAAGGTTGCTACAAATCACTCAGGATCAGAAGCATGAGTGATGAGTCTAAGAAAAATTGATTTCAAATCCAAGAGTTCCAAGCCAATCTTGGCCTGGCCAGCGCCCTGTGCCACCTGTGCCATGAGCTTCATCGGTCGGCTCGTCCTCACCAGTGCGCTCGTTTGGGCGCGGCCGGCCGAGCCAGATGATGCGTGGCCGCCCAAGGAGAACCTACTAGCGATGGCCTCCACCCTAATAGCGATGGCCTCCAACCTAATAGCGATGGCCTCCAACCTAA